CCTATCCGCGCGCCGGGTGCCGTTCAAGGTTTTGGCGTTTTGATAGCCGTCGACGAGTTAGAAGATGCGCTAGTCGTCCGCCAAGTGTCTGAGAACGCCGAAGAGCTTCTCGGACTCTCCCCGCGTTATCTTTTCTCACTCGATTGTTTCACCGACACCCTCCCCGATTCCCAGGCAGCCATTCTCTTCGACAACATCCCGGTAAGCCCTTTTCTTTTCGTCACACTCGCTGACCCAATTATTTTTACCCAGTATCTCTCCGAGTCTGACATGAACGCACAAGATGAGGAGGCGTCGCCGCACGTGTTTCTACTCACTGGCTGGGGCGCACCAGGAAGCGCCGCTCCGGATGATATGGAGGCGAGTGCCGGTCGCCGCTCCTGGACGTGCTGGTGCGCGGTCCATCGTCCCTCGGACCCCTTGGGCGACGGGAACAACGGGCTCATCATTATGGAGTTTGAGCTCGAGCGGGACACGCTGAACCCACTGTACACGCCAGATGACGTTGCCGCAGACACGGAAGCGACCCCTAGTTCCGTGAGCAGCCCGCCCGCCACTGAGAGAGGCGACGGTGACTCGTCGACCGACGGCTCGGAGCAGACGCTGTTCGGAACGGGCTCGCCGCGGCCTCTCTCACCCGAAGCTGCGCCGAAAACAGAGGCTGAAACGCTCGCAGTGGATGTGTCCCCCGCGTCAAATGACGTGCCCACACCATCGTGGACGCCCAGCGCGGAAGATGTCCTCGAGAGCACCACCTCGCGCGCAAGGCCACTGCTTGCGCTAGAGCGCCTGCGCCGCATCGCGCGCGGCGATAGCGGCCCTCCAGGCTCTCCATACGGGTCGCCCACGCAGGGGCGCGCGCGGCGGTCGCGGCGCTTTGGCGGCGGCGGCACGCCTGGCGGCGTGGGCACGACTGGAGGCGTGGGCATGATGGATGTGTTTGCCGTCATGGCACAGATCAACGAGCAGCTCGGCGACGCACCGGACCTCGCGGCGTTCCTCCAGGTCGTTGTCGGCGTAATCAAGGACTTGTCGCAATTCCACCGGGTGCTTGTGTATCAGTTTGATGAGCTGTGGAACGGGCAGGTCGTCGCGGAGCTGCTCGACTGGAGCAAAACACATGAGCTGTATCGGGGGCTGCATTTTCCAGCGACTGATATTCCTGCGCAGGTGCGTTGTCTCACTTTGAGTTTGACGATGGCTCATTTCATCTTGTTTCGGTGTGATAGGCAAGACAGTTGTATGCGATTAGTACGTCATCTACTGTGTTTCCCGTACTTGAACTAACGTCGCAACAACAGACAAAGTCCGGTTATTGTACAACCGCTCGCAGAACACGGCGCGCATCGTTGTGCGTAGTCAGGAGGATCTCAAGACGCCTTTGGTATGTCCTGCTGGCTTTTGACTTCACCCGTCGAATTTCGCAACTGTAGCAACTTACTGATACACTCGCAGAACATGACGCATTGTTACTTGCGGGCGATGAGCCCGATACACATTAAATGTATGTCTGTTGATACCCGCGCTCGAGTTGTAGCCATTGATGAGTATGTACCTAGATCTAGAAAATATGGGCGTTCGGGCGTCAATGTCTGTCGTACGTGCCGTTTTCCTTCCTACCGTCTATGCATTCTTTATTGTCTATTCCCTTGGACTCGGCACTGACATCTGTTTATCCAGTCGATCATGGCCTTCGGGCAACTCTGGGGGCTCGTTACGTGCCACTCGTACGGCTCACGTGGGATGCGCGTATCGTTCCCCGTGCGGCAGATGCTGCGCCTCCTCAGCCAGTCCATATCGCGCAACATTGAACGCCTGAGTTATGCGCAGCGGCTGACGACGAGGAAACTGGTATGGTTCCACACTACCTTGCACGAGGCGGGATTGACGTAGCCGCTTAGATCAACACGATGGCGTCGGACAACCACCCGGTGGGTAAACTTCTTCGTTTGTCGAATTGAAGCTCATCGAACGCCGGGAACTAGACAGGGTACATTGTGAGCAATGCGGACGACCTTCTCGGCTTGTTCGATGCGGACTTCGGCGTACTCGTTGTATGTGTAGTTGTCGGAGGCTTGGCTAAGGATTAACTCTGGAGCTGTAGATTGGGGAAGCTGCAAAGATGCTCGGCCCGAATGAACACGGACAGGAGATCCTCATCATGGCTGAGTATCTTCGGTTGAAGCAGTTCACGTCAGTGCCCTGGCTATTCCTTTTCTTGCGCCCGTCATTCTAACTGGAACCGCAGCACGATCCAGGTCTCGCAAGGCGTCACGACGGACTTTGAGGACCTTAAGCTGACCGCCGGACTCGAAGTGGTTGCGGGTATGCTCTACGTGCCGCTGTCCAGCGAAGGCAAGGACTTCATCTGCTTCCTGCGCAAAGGGCAGCCTCGGCACGTGCACTGGGCGGGAAACCCGAACGCCAAGTTCAACATGGGGTCCGATACCCTTCTCGAGCCGCGCAAGTCGTTCGCGACGTGGTCCGAGACGGTCGCAGGCCGGTGCCGCGCATGGACGGACGAGCAGCTCGAGACTGGAGGAGTTCTCGCGTTGGTGTATGGCAAGGTGGGTCTCGGTACCAATTGGGTTTGGCGTAGATTGATTGTAGTATAGTTCATCGAAGTGTGGAGGCAGAAGGAGAACGCCCTGCAGACGACGCGGCTTACAAATTTGCTGCTCTCGAATGCCTCGCACGAAGGTGAGTGTGCTCTGGATACTTTATTATGGCTGTGCCTCACGTTGTGTTAGTTCGGACCCCGCTCAACCATATCATCAAGTGCGCGGTCTCTCCGCGATGTATCCACCCGATTGACTGACATGCTGGTAGTTATCTTGAGATGGCGCTCAACGGGCCACTGGACGACGAGACGCGCGACAATCTCAATCGATCGCACTCCGCCTCCAAGGTTAGATAGTTATATCTCAAATACAGAAAACTGATAGTTTCGTGACAGAGTCTGTTGTTCACGATCAATGATTTGCTCGTACGTCAGCTGTTGTTTTGAATCCTCAGATGTTTAAGGTCCCTCTCAGGATCTCACGCGGCTAGAGAGCGGAAATGAGACGTCCTTCAATGAGCCCTTCGACTTGCAGGATGCCATCGAGGACGCGACGCACCTGTACCGCAAAGAGGCGCAACGGCGTAGTATTACGTTCAAAATGGAGCTCGAGCAATCGCCGAAGACTGTCGTCGGCGACGCCAAGAAGATCCGGACAGTGGTCCAGAATCTCACTGCCAATGCTTGTACGTCCCGACGCCTCGAAATTCAGACCGGCGTCTGATGCCTTGACGTAGTAAAATACACGGCCGAAGGTTCGATCACCGTTGGCTGTACTGTCTTTGGGGAGCCGGAAGGGCTCCGGGGTCCTCAGCAGACTGCTGTAGAGATCGTTGTAGCAGATACCGGATGTGGTATTGCTCCTGATAGATTGGGGAACATATTTAGAGAATTCGAGCAAGTCGAATCTATGGAGCCTAGAGCTGGTGCTGCTGGGGGCGGTGTCGGACTGGGGCTTGCGGTGGTGGCAAGGATCGTTGAGCAGTGCGTCGACCTCTTCCGACGGTTCTTTCAGCTAAAATACCGTCCATAGACTCGGCGGCCAGCTCAGGGTCGAATCCAAAGTGGGCGAGGGGAGTCGGTTCTCGTTTCTGATTCCGCTGGCGTTGTCGGACGACGGGGACGGATTGGTGATGACATCGCCGGCAGCATCTTCCCACCACTCTTCGCTGACGTCTCTCCGAATACGATCGCGGAAGCAGAGTGCCGACTCGGTGGGGGATATTGATTCTCTCGTGCAGGCACTCTCGTCAAATTATATGTTCCCCCCCTCCGAGGCTTGCCACCGACGCACGCGGTCCTCTTCCCCTGTCGACCTTCCTTCATCTTCAACCAAACCCGGTGTATTCAATGTTCCAGACTCGAGTATGCCGGTTCGTCCGGTGAGAGTCGACGGCTTCGCTGTTGATTCGCCGGCGACACCTGTTGAGCCTACTACGCCTGCAGAAGGGCACTATGAATTTCCTTCTATACTGGAAACGTCTCTCTCTGAAGGAGACAACCCGCCTGATCCATCGAAGCTCAGGGTACTCATCGTCGAGGTAAGGGATCGGTCTTGCCAAAAAAAAGACAAATTTTTCAACGACACGTAGGACAATGATATCAATCGAACAGTCCTGGCCAAAAGACTACGTCTCGATGGTCATACCGTAGTGACGACGACAAATGGTCAAGAGGGTCTGGACAAGGTCACGTCAGACAGGGCTTACGATGTCATCCTCATGGATATCCAGTACGCTGTCTACTCCTTGTGCATTCATCGTGAGCTGATCTCGGACTTTCAGGATGCCAATTCTCGACGGCTACCAAGCCACTCAGCGCATTCGGGCTCTTGAGAAATCGTCCACTCCCACGGGTGCCCCTCGGCTCTCCAACCGCCTCAATGGTGGGCACATCCCTATATTCGCGGTATCGGCCAGTCTCCGGGAGAACCGGCGCGAAGAGTTGGGCAACTATGGCATCGACGGATGGATTCTGAAACCGATTGACTTCAAGCGACTGAAGGTCATCCTCAAAGGCGTGACGGACCCGGTGCAGCGGGCGCTCGACCTTTACCACCCGGGTTGCAGCTGGGAAGCCGGTGGATGGCTGGTCGACCAACCCGCTGCTTCCTCTTGATCTCCTTTCCCTTGATTCGCTTTCTGGATTTATCTTATTTTGATCTGATGGGTTTCTGGCACTTTTTTTTTTTACCTCACAACTTGTACAGACTGGACAGCTAATGGTAATGTTTCATTCACGCAAAACATTGTCTGTATCAGTATCACAATGTATTCCCTAGTTAGTTCACAGATTAATTGAAAGCGTAGATGTTGGTACGTCCGCAGAGGGAACAACATGATGCCAACGATGGGATTCTTTGCGCGGCAACTCCCATGACACTCATCGTTCCAAACGACGAAACTCGAGCATAGAAACGGAAGGAAAAAATGGTAAAAAGGACCCTGGCCGGGATTTGAACCCGGGACCCCGTGCATCTGATTACTTTTGTGAAAGTCCCAAAGCACGTATCATTCTACTAGACCACCAGAGCGATGAATTGTGCTCCCGTTGTAAAGCTACAACGTTTTATTGCGGGTATTACAGAGAAATACATGAGATCCTGAGGCAGAGACCACCATGTGCCATCGAAAATTTGGAGCGTATACATAGATGGGTGGAGAAGGAGATTCAGAACTTTAGGAAAATGACAAGCCTCGCTTAGGGTTAAAGGTGAAAACGGGGGGAACAAAGAAGGGCGAGCGAGTGACTCAGAGGAAAGGACGGATAAGGGAACATGAAGACGAAGAGAAGGGCGAGAAGTGCTATCGATTAGGAGTGCGGTGGGTGAATAAGAGAGCGCGCAGGCCCATGAGAAGAAGAAAAAAACCTAATGGGGCGAGAGGGGGCAAAATGTCGGGGAGAGGAGGGTGGGACAAGCCTGTTCTTTCAACGCTGGATGGAGGGGAAGGCCGACCCTAATGGCCAAAGGTGAAATAATTCTACAGAGGAACCTCGCGGCCTGTCCAACTGAGAGTCCTCGGAGAGTAAGCACTATGCAGAAAAACTCCACAGGTCAGAAATAACGTCTCCACCCGCCATCTCAGCGTCGCCGCCGAACAAATCCAGTTGCTTCCCCATATCCACCGCCACCGGCGGCTCCTTCTTGATCTTCCGGTTCGCGTCTGCGTCGAACAACTATCCGCGCACAACAGTCAGTATTTACTCGGCATGGGGAGAGAGAGCGAGCCACGCACCGTCCCGTACGTATGATCCAAGAAATCCTCCATCGCGTACCCCGGCTTCGTGAACGCCTCAGCGAAGATCTTGGTCAGCGTCGACGCGCCCGAGAGGTAGTGTTCGCGGTGCGAGTTGAGCTCCCACAAGGAGCTCTCGATCGCGCGCGTCAGCAGCGGGTTCGGCTCCGCGGCGTCGAAGGGGTCCGTCGAGTCGCCGTCGGGGCGGTGGATCATAGACATGAGGGCGGGGTGGCGTTTGAGGGTGTTGTACGTGAAGGGGATGATCATGATGACGCCGGCTGGGGGAGCGGACAGCGAGAGGCGGGCGAGACGCTTAATAAAGGAGGCGAGCATCGTAGCTGGGATGTGGCTGGACATATCTGTGAGCGGGGGTTCGACGAAGATGGGTGGGTAGAGACGAACGTTGAACTGAGGAACAGCTCAGTCAACCGGAAAAACCGGGCGCGGTGTTTTGAATGCAGTACGTCTCGGTCGAGGAATGCATACAATTTTGTGTAGAAAGAAGGATAATCTCTGGAAAACTGGTTTAGTCGCTGTATAGTACAAGCGATGGGAAAGAGCTTACAAGTTGTATTCTTTCATCAACACAAAGAGGGCGTTGAGTGCAAGGAGCCCAACGGTTCCACCTAATGCGAATCATGAGCATGGGACATCAACGGTTTAGTTATAAAGGCGACTACACACCGTGGTCAACGCTACCGCCGACCCAATCCATGATCAAGACTGGGCGCGTCAAGTGAGGCATAACCCCGCGGTGCATCACGTTAAGGGCACGGAGTGAGAGGGTCTTGCTCGTTGCCACATCTCGTCCCGCGGAAAGTTTCGGTAGAAGAGCAAGCCACGCGCGGGTGAACACTGCTCGATGAGAAGCCAGCGAGTGCAGGGACTGGTGGATTGTCAGCTTATGTAGCCTCGCGGCCGGCGTTTTGGGTTTATTCGCGTCTGTAGAGGTATCTTCGTCGAAGAATTTTCGCCAGTCATCTTCGTCTTCCCCCTCCTTGTCCCCCTCCTCATCCGACGACAGGTCCTCCGCGCTTGCGGAACCCTTCTTCGATGGCTTTGGCTTCGGCGGTTTTGAACCCAGCTCCGAGACCCACCACGCGTTGAGCTCGGCCTTGTCCGTAGGGAAGGTATTGAGGCCCTCGAGGATAGCCAGGAGATTTGCGGGGAGATTGGGGTGGTCGGAAGTAGATGTGGTGTTTATTAACGACCTGTAGTGCATACATGAGATTTGGCAAATAATGAAAGACACGACGTACCCGGCTTCGCGAAGGAAAAACCACCGCACATCATCGTGGACACTGAACCATGTCTCGTGGAACAGATGAAGAACGTCTGGATCAAGAACGCCCTTGCTGCTTTGCGCTGATCGTCGAGAAGGGGGGCATAGCAGCAAGCCGGATACAATCTTCCGGAAATGGGAGATGTGGAATTGAGGTTGGGAGTCTGACAAGCTGGAAGATGTCGATAGATGTTTTTGAAGGGAAAATAAGATCTGCAGCGACGATATCTGGAGGAGGCATGAGCGTTGAAAAAGGCAATCAAGAGAACAGGAAATACACGCAGCAGCTTCTCCTCGTCCTTCAGTAGACTGCAAAGGAAATCCACATAGGAATTGAGCCTGTCCCATAGCCAGCCCTTGACAACTTTAGCTGCTTCATCGTCACCTGCGCCCAGTTTTCCGGTTGATAAGACGACAACGAACACCCGATAGAGAGCGTAGATGGCCTTGGAAGTGTCCTGTGCTTCACCAGCCGTGAATGCGAGGTCCAAGAGGTCCGCCAGTGGATTTAACGAGGCATTGGCGGCAGCGGCCGACGTGAGCTGCTCCTCCAGCCGCTCGACTGATTTTGTGAATTCTGATTCCTTCTGGATCTTGCGCTTCTTGCTCGGCGGCGGGAGCGACGGCACTGGGCGCGTCATGGAAGGAGGCTGAAAATTTACACAGCCACCGGAAAGCGGACCGGTGTTCAAGAATCCCCCCAAAAAAAATATACGCCCGACTGGCTTCTGCCTCGGGAGGCGCTCTGTATATTTCTACAGACCGATATACGAGAGCTCCAATGACGATTTGAAAAAAAAAAAAACAAGTGGCTAGGCCGATCCTCTAATTACTCGTGCTCAGTTTCCTTCTGCCATCTGGGGAGCGCTGCGGATAGCTGCTATTATTTAACGCGTCGGTCTCGTCAAAGCCGTCATGCGAGGACCACAGCGTGAACGCCAAATCGGAAGCCAGGGAACCGTACGCAGTCGACAACCAAGGATCGCCGACAAAGTCGAATAGCCGTTTATCTGTAGTGGCAGTATCGTCGACTTGGAGAGCGGCAATCCCGTTTGCGATCCGATCCAGATCCTCCTTCAAACTGTCTGGACCTCCCGGCAAAATCACCTCCAAACTTTTCGTCCCCATATGCACTACGCAGGAAACGTGTGAGTCGCGCAGTGCGGGGTTGCCGGCAGCATTTGCCGCCACAAGCCAGGGCCGAGCAATTTGTGTCCGTCATGCTCAACTGCTGGAATCTGTCGTCGCCGTCCTGCAAGTAGTGTTTGGAAAATTACGGCTCATCGACAAATTGCATCTAGTTGAAGCGGGCATTGTGCAATGCACAAACCATTTGTATCTGATTATGCTGTTAAGTGGCTTGTATTGGGGAAGCGGGAGGTATGCGGGCTCCAGGGAATGGTGGAAAAGTTCGCCATAAATCACCCACGACAAAAGTATTGTTTCGGGATCGTTGAACACCGTGATGGCGGTTCTGTCAGTTGTCGGCCCCACCACCGAGTCGAGGCGTCGGTTTAAGGGATTAAACACGTCACATTTATATGTGTACAGTGGGTGGGTGTCGTCCATCCGGAGCTCTGAGACGTCGAGCACCAGTTCTAGGAGCTTGTCTACCCCACCCTGTATGGCGACCTCCAGCAGATAGCGGTGGTCGTCATGTTCGACTACCCAGTCCGCGACCTGCCGCGCTGTTGCAGCAATGAAGAGATGGGGATGGTGGCGAAATAACACGCGGCCAGAATTGGCGGCAAGTCGGGGTACGACTTTGGGGTCTGGGTTGGCGCATATGCGATAGAGCGTGCGGCATGTTGAGAAAACGGAGCGAGATCCTCGATGGAATGGAGATATTTGAGGGATATTTAAGGGCAGCTCCGGAGGAAGCGTATCGAGCATCGAGGTTGTGGGTGAGACGAAGAAGGCGCAAGTGAAGAGCTAAGTAAAGAGGGAAGTCAGATCGCCGGCCCGGGGCCGACGCTGCCACCATCGATATAGATCGATGGCGGTGCACCCACATCAGTTTCTCGCTGTACTATACATGAATCGACGACACCGGTGCATTCCAATCATTCCCGAATTGCCTGTGTAGCAGGTCTTTAATTGATACAACTCTCGTCGTGCGACATTCGTGTCTCTGTCGCCACCCACCCCAACTCCAGCGTGCAGCACTCTCCCAAATTTTGTGCATAGACTCACGGGCCGAGGCGGAAGCAAGCCAGTACTGGTAATAAAACCATTCCTCCTTCCCACAGTTTCCAAGGGCTCCTTCGTGAGGATACGGCGACAACTCTTGGTGTGCGGGAGCGGCAAGGTCATCGAGCCATACCCCGATGACGCGGGAAGGAAAGAGGAGGAAGAGCGCGAAGATAAGATTTTGGTCTTTGCCCACAAACATCCCTTGCCGGAGGTAGTGGTCGTGGTACGCGTAATACGTGTCCCGCCACCAAGAGATGGTTTTCGGCGAGCCGCCGAAGAAGGAGGCTTCACATCCACAGTCAGATGGAGGGACAACTCGACACAATTGACTTGCTCACCTTCGCTGAAATAATCGTCTACCGGACCCGTCCGTTCTTGCCAATATCGGAAGCTGGGATTGGGAACACGACACACCGGGTAGAATAACAGATCCTCCTCCTTCTCTCCCGTCAACGCACTCCCTTCCCGCCAGATTTCATGCACCCGTGCCGCCGAGGGCCAGTCGGTGAAATTGTGAGTGCTCCGGAAACTCCCAGCATCGTTCCAGAATGCGTATTCATAATCCTGACCCTTGCGCGACAGCACCTTGACTGCCTCATCGAGGAAGTATGGCTTCCCATTCCATACGGCGTATAGGTCAGCAGAATGGATGCCCTTTTCCCGGTCGAGTGCGTGCATTCCGTGATATTCCTCTTTGAACTCTCTGAGAGGGGGGATATCAAACGGCGTCGTGAATGTGGTATCGATGATTATCGGCAAACTTCCACGGCACTTCCGTACCAATGGCGCCATCTCCGCAGACGTGTAAAAGTAGACGTC